CTGAAACCCACCCGGCCAAGCCCTGTGGGACACCACAGTGGGGGTGGGGGTTGCCGTGTGAGGCCTGGACGGCGCAGAGGCGGCTGGCCACGGCAGAGGCGCCGAATGCGGGCCACCCAGAGGCATCCTATTACGTATGCTCCCCAGCCAGTCCTGCAAGTTTCTGGGGAAGCACTCACTGATTTCTTTGAAACTTGTTCTCTGCGAGGACTGGTTGTCCACAGTGAGGTTTTTTGCTACTAAAAATAACGCACAGCCAAGATACCCTATTCCCAGACAGTCTGCAGGCCATCTTCTCCCCTGTCAGCCTTTTCGCTGGGTTGGGTGAAGCTGGCCTGTGACTCACACACCTGCTCACAGCACACAGTGTGCTGATAACTAGCTGAGAGTCTTGGACCTCCTCTGACGATGCCACCCCCCTGAGCCTGTGGGCGGCACTAATCATATGCTCATGAAGATGACTGAGGGATCAATGAAACAGCAGACATGAAACACGTACCAGAAATGGCCTCGTGCTCATAAAATGGCTGCACAAGAGTGTTCCACCCATGGTGAGGAAAGCGTAGCCTCTGGAACCAGCCCTTCGGGTTTTCCAGCTGCCTCACGCCTAGTTTGCAGGGATCCTGCCCCACCCACGCTCTGTGGCCTCCTTTGTTCCTCCCTGTCCTGTTCTGCAGCCAGATTTGCCCACACCCTGCCTTTGCTGGTTTCCTGCCTCCCACGTCTGCTGGAGCTCCGCCTCGAATTTCTGTGTTTTCCCCTCCTCCCTGCCTAGCAAACTCCTGCTCATTCTGCAGGCAGCTGCTGGGCCCTGCCCCTCCCCGGAGACCAGCCCCTCCCAGCTGCTCTGGGTAACTGCCACCCAGTCTGCCCTTGACTGTCATTACTTGTCCAGTTGTCACCCCAGCGGGCTCTGAGCTCTGACTTGGTCACCACAGCATCTGTCGGGGCTGTTACTGAGCCTGTACGCACTCGGTGAGCAAACATAACTGAATCAGTTAAATCATTCAACACATGTTTTTGAATGCCTCGCATGTACCACGCACCTTCACAGACATCAGTGAGGAAAATCACAGACGTCTTCCCTGAGAGCTGGGACTCTGGCAGAACACATGTAAAAACCTGCCGAGTGAGGGAAATGTCTGGTCTGTTGGAAGGCGAGCGCCAGGGAGAAAACACACAGGACAGGACAAGACAGGGAGGACGGGGGAGAGGGGTGTGGGAGCGCGGGAGTGCAGCGAGGAGCCGGTGCAGGGGGTGCCGACCAGACCACCGAGGGAGGGTCTCCGTGGAGCCAGCTTCTGGCACAAAAACTTTAAGACAGTTACTTGTTCGTAGAAAACCAGGTTTGTCTTTGCTTCTTTTTCAGCAGGAGGAGGAAAATACATTTTGTACTACTCCCAGAAGTAGACCAAGCATTTATTGGGGTGCATTTCCATCATATTTCCCTTTGACTTACTTAGAAAGGTGGGGGGAGTGGGGGTGACTGCACCTGCCGGAGGGATGAGCACCTGGGAGAAGGGCGGTTCCTGCCAAGTGCTGCAGCTGCTCCGGATGGGAGCAAGGAACTTGAACTCCTCAGCCATGCAAGGCCCTTCCTCTTTCCTGAGGAGCTGGCCACCCAGCACTCACCTGTTACTTTGTCTCCTCGGTGAAAAGCAGTAACTAGTTTACCACCTGGCAAGTTGCTACTTACCCGTCCATTGAGAGTTGCAGGACACGGAACAGGTTACAGTCGCCCTTTAGTGAAAACTATACATAGACTCAGTGCTGGGGGCGGGGTTATCCATCCAAAACGTGTGGCCCCTGTGAAACTGTATCTCCCCGAGCCTTCCTCGCCGGTAAGTCGGAGAGAACAATGGCGGAGTGTCGGAGATTCAATGCACTGGGGTCTACAAAGGGCTTAGAACAGCACCTGGCACCGACCACAGCTCAGGGCACACTGGCCAGCACCCTTATCGGGGCTGTTTGCAGAGTCGAGCACCATGTCAGGTATCCGATGGATTATAAAAGTGAATTAATCAATCTCTCTCTTTTTACAGGAAGAACAAACAAGCTTTAGATAAATCTTTTCCAACCACTGGTCACTGCTGGACACTGGCATCTCAAAACCCAAGAAAATAAGAGATACTAGAAGACAAAGACATTTTTAACAGCTGTGGAAGGATCACTAAGAACCTGGCTAAAACATCTTTTTTTTCCTTTCCCGAATACAAAAATATTAAATGTTCATTGTAAAAACTTGCGAAATGAGAAATATATAAAGCAAATGTAGATACCATTCCATATATACATATATATAATTTTCTAGAAACACGAGTTTTATAGATGCATTACTACTTGTGTATTGGGTTCTCTGTTATTGGCTGTTAAGCTTGGGTTTCATCCTTATGCATTAGAGGTCGTACAAACCACACATCTTTGTACAGAAATCTTTGGTTAAATATTTGATTCTTTGGGGGTGGCTGGACTGCTAGTAGTAGAAATACTAAATCGCAAGGCAAAATCATTTTTAAGGCTCTTAATACACATTGCCAAATTTTTACCCAGAAGGCCTCTGCCAACTTATAATGCCGACATAATACGGAAATGTCTGTGATACAGCTTTAAAATGTATGCAGACCCCCCCCTTTCTTTTTGAAGCACTGTTAACCTGATAGGCTGGCCAAACTTTTGGGGGGGCGAGTTTTTATTTATTTCATCATTACCGAGGGTAATTCTCCCCCGCCCGTGTTTTTATTGGCCATGACCCTGTAAGAAATAAACTGCTGGAAAATGATAGACCTAACTGTCACCATTGCATGGGGAGGCATTATATAAAAAAGTAAGTAGGACCTTAGACTAAGATTAAAAACAAACAAACTAGTATTTATCGGGCGCCTCCTGCCCAGTGCTCTGCTGCAGCGACAAGCTGACTGTGTTCAACGGACACCGTTTTTACCTGCACCGCGTCCCCTAAGGCCCCTGCACCCCCCTTGGAAAGTCTGTCTGCGTGCCGCAAGGACCTCCCGTGTGTCCCTCGTCGGCAGAAGAACTGCCCAGATTCCCAGGGAGACGCTCGGGGATCTCCACGAGATGGGTTTCCCCTGCTGACCCCTGGGAGACTCTGCCTTGGGGAGCAGAGTCACGTCCTGACCGCTCACCAAGGTGAGTTCAAGGACAAACCAAGACGCATCCTGGACTTTGTCCCAATACCTGCTGTCCCTCAGCTCTGCAGACACACCCACCAGCTGGGTCCTGGGTCTGTGGTCCCCACGGAGTTGTTCAGACCGGCGCCCCTGCCGGTTTCCCGTTACCTGAAGGCAGGAACTGTGTCTGCTTCTCTGTGTACTTGGGGGTGGGGGTGAAGGGCGGGGAGGGTACAGGGGTCGGGGGCTGAGTGAATGAAAGCAGAAGCAACGCTCAGTGCGGGACCCCAGCCGCGAGGGCGACCTGATTTGAGCCAACGTGTCATGTGGGAGATTCGCGCTCTCACTCCATCCTGAAGGGCCTTTCTATCAGGCCGCAGGGACCCCGGGGGGGGGGGGGTTAGTACAAACAACCCACACACCTTGTAGATTATAGTTAATTAGGTTGTGTTTGCCCGAAGAAGGGCCTCGCCTACCCGTTTTAGATGATCCTGTAACGGAAAAGCCAACGGGCGAAAGCTCTGCAGGCAGAATTCGGTGGGAGGGGAAAAGACTTTTATTCAAAGGCCCTAGTGTGAAACGACGGCAGGTTTCCGCCTCAAAGCCCGTTCCCAGCTGAAGAAAACCTGCCCGCCGACCTGCGCCAGCTCAGCCCAAGCCCGTGCCCAGACCGTCTTCCCCAACCCGCAGCACCGCCCTTTAAGAAACGCAAGGGGCTCAGCCGCCCTCCGGCCCCCGGTCCGGCTTCGGGCGTCGTTCCGAGTCGGCGCGCCCCGGCGGCCGGCTCACAGCGCCTGCGCCCTGGCCTGGCTGCGGCCCTCCCGCGCGTGCGCCCGCGGGCGCGGCCTGGCGGACCCGCACGTGCACCCCCGGCCGCCAGTGCGGGGCAGCCTTCCGTGCCGGGGGCCGTGCGGCTTTCAGGGCCCGCCGGCCGGGTTCCTGCCCCTTGGGCCCTGCCGGCCCAACGCCTGCTCTGCTCCCGGCCTGGCAATTGCCTGCACCGTTTGCGCAGGGGCGCCCGGAACCGGCCCGAACCGCGTGGCCTCCAGGGCGTGAGGACCCAGGGACTCGAGCCCCGCTGGCCGGGAAAGGGCGGGGAACAAGCCGAGCAACGTCCCCCCCCCTCTCCCCTTACACATCCGGACCCAATGCCTCCGCATGGGGGAAGCGTGCGGAGAGGTACTTTTCCTCGCCTGCGCCCAGTTGCCAAGGCAACTGCTCATGCGCAGTCCTCTGCACTCGCCAACCCTTCCCCTACAAGGTGGGGTGCGGCCTCTCCTGCCGCTCCTGGGGTTCCTGCTCCCTTCTGCCCAGCGGCTGGGCCAGACCCCCATCCCGTCACAACTCGACAATCATGTATCTCCGCAGCGAGACACCTTAGAGTGTTACTTTTCTTACATACATACACAGTCGTCCAAAAAGTCAGGGCATAGCTTATTTTTCGCACCCAGTGGAAGACAGCCGTTTGGGAGACCACTGAGAAAGGACGAGATAAGTCTCTTGCTGAAAATCAGTTTCAAATGTACAAAGAAAAGAGGGAACTTTGTTCTTCTCCTTGAATTTTGCTGAAAATCGAGGGCTTCATCGCATAGTTTTGGCAGGCTGGGCCATATTTTACTAAAACGTGAGAAGGCCTGTGAGACTCGGGTCTCCGGGGATCCCCCGGCAACAGCACTGGGTAGTTCTGTGCAGACGATCTTTTGTGGGCTTCGACTTTTGGGGGGAAAACAAACACAAATGCTCCTCCCTCGAGGGGCGGGGCTGTGCCCAGGTGATGCACCAATCAGAGCGCGCCCCGCCCTATATAAGGCGTGCGGGCCCCGCAGAACCTCACGCTTCCACTGGTTCCCAATTTCCGTTGTGTGTCCTGTGATGTCTGAGACTGCGCCCGTGGACCAGGCTGAACCCGGCCCAGCTTTCATGGGGAAGCCAGCAGTCAAAAAGCGAGGGAAGAAGCAGAAGGACGTGGCAGGAGCGAGTCGTAAGACTCCCAGTCTGTCTGTGTCCAAACTCATCACGGAGGCCTTGCTGGTGTCGCCGCAGCGGGCCAGCATGTCGTTGGTCGCGCTCAAGAAGACGCTGGCGGCCGCCGGCTACGACGTGCACAAGAACAACAGCCGCATCAAGCTGGTCCTGAAGAGCCTGGTGAGGAAGGGCACCCTGGTGCAGACCAAGGGCAGTGGTGCCTCCGGCTCCTTCAAGCTGAGCAAGAAGGCGGCTGCCCAGCTCACCAACGTCAAGGTCAGGAAGCCCGCGTCCACTAAGACCAAGAAACTGGTCTTGTCCAGGGAGTCCAAGTCTCCGAAGAGCGCCAAGACCAAGAAGACGACCCAGAAGCCAAGAGCGACAGCGGCTCCGAAAGCCGCCCGAGGCGTGTGGAAGGCCTCGGGAGCCGAGGGCAAGGCCGCGCGGAAGAGCCCCGCCAAGGCCAGGGCGGGCAGGCCCGCCGGCGGCAGGGCCGCGCTGACCCAGCAGAAGGCGAATTCCAGGAAGGCAGCACCGAAGAAGTGAGAGGCCAATCTTCAAAAAAACCCAAAGGCTCTTTTAAGAGCCACCCAATTAATATTAAAATGGCGTAACACTGGGGTTTCCTGGAAAGTTTGGCGCTGCAAGTCAATCTCCTTAGCTGACAACAAGCGGAGGTGAGGTGAAATAAAGGCTTTGTCACAGTATACTCGTATCCGCACAGTCCCAAAATGCTGGGTTGTGCACGAGTGAAGAAGAGTGTCGCATGGGCCTTTGTAAACGTACACGTAACCTGACTACAAGAACCCATGCCACGCGGGAGTGCGGGGTAGCTCGACCCCTAAACGTACTTGTTTTCACAGGTGTCATCTGCTTTGTTTTTACGTCGTGTCCTAACAGCTAATGAGGGTGTTAAGTCTGGTGTCTACGGACTTCGTGGGGATCAGAAATAAGTCAAGGTGTCAGAATATGATTATAGAGGATTTTTAAATCTTTCATGTTTAACAGAAGCTTAATTACACAGAGTGACTAGCCAGTAAAAAATCAAGTTTGCAGTTGTCGGAAGAATATTGTGATCCTCATTATTTCCAAACTTCTGTAGTTAAGCTGTGGTAAGCACATATTGCCACATTTTAAGAACTGGGGTTGATAATCTAATTGCTTTAAGGCAACTGTAGTTACATGTGTTTTACTTTTGAAGAGTGTATGGATTGGACTCCAGGGGCAGGAAAATGCTAGACCTACCATTTTGGGGGGAAGTTGGAGGCTGCTCACAGTGGCCGGGGTCTGAACCAAACGTTTGTAAAAGAAAAGCTGGTTGTCTTACAAAACACTGGTGGTGTGAGCCTGTTTCCCATTTTAAACAAAATGGGTTCATTTCAGTTTTCACGGAATTTGTGATTTAGCATTCTTATTTAAAGATCACTGGAAATATTAATCTCATACTGTTCATCCTGTTTCGGGCCTTGGCATTTTCGTGCAAAACGATGTAGTGCAGACTGAATTTGAGCACCTTCTACAGGTGACTCACTAGGACCTACCCTTTCAAAATTCCTGTCTATAACAGGGCCTCTGAGAAAAAAATTACATTGTATCCTGTAAGGAGAGTGACCACCCTAGCTTCAGTGTCGATGGAAGCAGTCCCCGGCCAAGTGCCTGGCTTGGATATGCTGTCCAGTTTCCCTCGGGGCGGGAGTTCTTCTGCTTTACAAATATGCCTCACTTGGCCGACGAGCAGTGGCTTGACCTGGGACCTGGAGACGCTCCTGTCACAGAGGAAAAGGACGAACAAGTGGCCTCATCCCGCCCAGTGGCCGCCGGCCTCCCAGCATTGCTCAAATCCTCTGGAAGCGGTCCCAGGACCCCATGCGCCGGTGCTCCCCCAGCCTTTTAGCACCTGGCACACATCGAACTAGAAACAAAGTTCTTTTCTCCAGTTCAGGGGGCTGAGATGAAACCTTTAGCCACAGAAAACCTGGCGCTGTAACCCTACCCTTCGCAGTTTAACTTAATTTTCCACCCACACCCCATGTTGTCCTCTGGGAGGTCGTCCCCAAGAGCCTTCATTCACGTAACCCCCTGCGTGTCAGGCCACAGGAGGAGACCCTCACGGCGCCAGCGCCGCCCAACAGCCCGCTAAATCCAAAGGACCTTCCTCGGAAGTCCTCGAAATGTACAAGATCCGATCATTTCTCTTATGGAGCCAGTTGTTTTATTGGCATAATTTGCTTGTTTTTGCTTTTACACTCCTTTTTAAAAGCATCTACTTTTGCTTTGTAAAAAAAAATTTCTCAATACCTCAGTGTGGCAAGATGCCATGGTTGAGTTACAGACTCGCACTGCAGAATGGTGCATCGCCCTTTCAGCGACCTCGTGCGAACTGCGAGTCCGAGTGATCCACTCAGTTAAGGCCTGGGCAACTCCCACCAGCCCTTCATGCGATTTTGTGGGAGGACCTAATAAGGGCCTTTGGCTTTGTTATAGAGAGGGAGTTTGTGGGTTCGATCTGAGGATATAATTTTTTAAAAAATCATAACCCTATTGTAGTGTTTGAATGGTCCATTAAAAAAATGCAGCTGACAGCAGGCAGTTAAAAACAGGAAGATGAGCGGGGAGTCAGGAAATATGGCGGGTTGGGTGCTAGAGACCCGTTACCGCAGGAGGGAGCGTCCCCTTCACGAATGCAAAGGCCATCCCGGCTCAGAGGACGTTAGAGACTCGGGTTAGAACACCGACCGCCTGTCCCGTAATCGCGGGTAATTTACAAAGTGCTTGGCCTCCGGCTTAGGGCGGGGCCCTGCCTGAGAAGGGGACGTGCTAGGCCGTGTATTCCAGTTTAGCCCAAACCCTGTTTGCGGTGACGAGGCTCAGCCCGCCCACTGAAAAGAACGGCGAGGGGTGAGAGTCCAAAGTGTGCTGACGTCTCCTGAGGTCGCTCAGAGCAAATATATCAGGAATTAAAGGCTAGCATTTGTGGCGATGTCGGTGCACCGACGTCGTCCTGGGTTCCTCTGGGCTGCTAGCTGTATCGTCGCAGACTTGCAACTGGTGGAAATTTCTGCTGAAGACCCCGGTCTAAGACCCAGCTTGGGGATGCTTCAGGAGCTTCGCCTGACTGGAAACTGCTTCTCGCCAACTAGGGCCGTGCTTGATCCCTTCCTGGACCTCAAAAGGCAGGTATCCTTACCAGAAACAAAAACGGAAAGAAAGAAAAAAAACACCCTAGGGATTTTAACTTTAGGTCTCCCAGCGAGCCGGGAACTAGCAAGGACCCTTCCCATCTGCTTTACACTGCCGGTCACCTCTGTAAGCCCCGGCTTCCTCTGCATGGGACGCGATGCGCACGCTCGTGGGTCCCTGCCCAGACTGGCTCAGGCCTGACGGGAAGGACCCACACTCCAGCCACTGCTGAAGAGTAAGACCCGCTGACTTCAAACCCACAACATAACGTTTACAGGACGGGAGCGCGAAGAGTGCACAGCTCTTCCGTAGAGAGAGTGGGCGGCCCTGAAAAGGGCCTTTGGAGGATAATTTAGGATTGTGAGGACGTTGACTCAGCCGCCGAAGCCGTAGAGGGTGCGGCCCTGGCGCTTGAGCGCGTAGACCACGTCCATGGCCGTGACCGTCTTGCGCTTGGCGTGCTCCGTGTAGGTGACGGCGTCCCGGATCACGTTCTCCAGGAAGACCTTGAGCACCCCGCGGGTCTCCTCGTAGATGAGGCCGGAGATGCGCTTGACACCGCCGCGGCGGGCCAGGCGCCGGATGGCGGGCTTGGTGATGCCCTGGATGTTGTCGCGCAGCACCTTGCGGTGGCGCTTGGCGCCTCCCTTACCAAGGCCTTTTCCACCCTTTCCGCGACCAGACATGGTTGCAGTTTCAACGACTGCTTACTGTTGGTACACTGCTTTAAATAGAATGTTGGCGGACCTGATTGAAAACACATGCCCTGTGGGGGAGGTGTTAAATTATGTCTTCCCGGGGGTGGAGCAAGGGGAGGTTATTAACATTTCACCATTGTGATTGGTCAGTGAGTCTCGCGATGTTGGGGCTGGAGGAGTGGGGTAGATTTCCTTGCAATTAAAACTGATTTCTCGCTTTGCACATTTTTTCCCCGTGCTATTTTGCATATTGGGTACAGGTGTTCGCTCTAAGACGCTAAACAAAGCGGTCCACTCAGTAACTAATAAATTATGTAATGGCCTGTTGCTGAGTGTGGAAATAGGAAAGGAGTGTGGATTTGTAGGTCCGGGGCTTCCCCTTTCCGTCCTTTTCCTATTCCTGAGTGAAAGCACGCCTTTTGACCGCCTTCTCCTCCGCGCGGGAGAAAGTGCAAGCCTGGCCCTGAGGAGCTCTGGCCCTAAAAGCCTTGTGTTTGGAAAGATGAACAGGTGGAAGAATTGCAAATTAAAACTGCTTCCTTTTCTTCTTTACCTTCAACCAAACATCTCCTGGCTGACACTTGTTTTGCAAAGCCTGCAAGCCTGGGAGCGCAGACCCTCTTTCCGGCCTGCGGGGCAGGCCTGCCCGCAGGTCCTAACAAGCAAGCCCTCCCTCCCTCCTTTACTGATCCTTTTCAACCTTCTCCAGTTCACCGCGGACAGCCATTCTGGGGGGTTACTTGTAGCTAATAGGTGATTAAGGTCAGTACGAAGCCTTGGGGCCTACCCCTGAGAGGCCTTTGATGAGATTATTGGTGTTTTAAATAAGACTAGGCCCGTAAAAATAAAATATAAAATAAAATAAAATAAAAAAATAAAATAAAGGTAGAGGAGAGCAGAGTTGGATCTGAATATGGTTTTTCAGGGGGACTTCTTAAATAAAAGTGGTTTCCTTAGCTTCCTGCAGTAATTTTTGAAAATTTCAACTGTAAGAGTCACTCTTGTTAAAACGACAAAAAAGAAAGAAGGGGAAAAAGAAACCCTTGTCCCCATTCTGGTTAACAAATTTAAAAATGCCTGCTTTGGAAACTTAGAATGAGGCGGGCCTCAGAATGACCACACTTATAACCTCAGACTGTGGTGAAAAGGGGGAGGAGCAGAAAAGACTCAGGAGAAGGTCAGACAGCTCTGAAAGCACACAGCTTGTATCGCTTCTGAAACACGTCAGCCCCACACTGAGAGAGTTTTTAGGTTCTGGACTTTCACCACTCCCTCCCTACCAGCAACACGTGCTGTAACCACAGAACCTGCTCGGAATGGCCCTGCCTGTTTAAGGAAGCCCTGAGTTGCCTCAGAGACCGCAGAGCAGAATCACAAGTCCCGCTGCTGAGACACGGGCAGAGGAGAGCGATCTGACCCCCGACTGCACTGGAGAAAAGGAGCCCCAGGACCCGGGACAGGGCTGACACTCCAACATGGCACCTCTCCAGAAGCCAAGGCTCCCGTGTCCAGGGCTCTTGCCATTATCAACGTAAGAAACAGTCACACCTGTAGAGAATTTTTGGTGAGTTTGTTTGAGCCAAACTGACAACAATTGTGGGGAAGCAACATCTCCACGGACTGAGAAATGCTCCGGGGATTGGCAGTTTAGCCCCTTATTTTACACATTAGATCCAAGGAGGAGCCATGCGGGGGTGGCATGAAGTCCACTGGTGGTGGGTCGGGGAGGTGGGAGAAAAAAAAAGAAAGTGGGGGGAGCCTCTGGGACTGGGTGAAAGGTACAACAGACACGTGCTTCTTTACACAGGTGGGTGAGGGTTCGTTAACAGTCAGCAATTGGCTTAAAAATAACAGTAAGGCGATTTGTGGTCTCAGCTTGAGCCCAAGGGGTTTGGAAAAACAGAGAAGTTACTTGGACATTCCAAAGGCCTGCTATCGTAGATGCAAAAAGACGACAGGCAGGCTCAGTTAAGACTGGTGACGGGGGGAGGGGCAGAAAAGACTACCAGGCCTTTGCTAAGGAAGAATGCTGGCCTGGAACAGGACTACACGCCGCGAACTGCTTTAATCAGTAAAGTCTCATCTTAGACCGTCCTCTGTGGAGACTTCAGGTCTCTGCGTCCCTGAGGCTGCCTCTCAGGCCCCACCCCCCAAGCTGGTTGGGTTGCCGTGCGGCCCCTTTTCGTGCACAACGTTCCAAGGTTCTCGGGTTGAAATTGCCCACCAGGCTTTTGGACACCTGTGCCCCTAAACCCTTCAAACCCCTTAACCTAGTCCAGCAAGAAACACGGATATGAGGCCCAGAGTGTCTCCCCTCTTCTCTGCTGGACACGTCTCAACCAATAAACATTTTCCTTACCCCAAACCCTGGCATCCTGGGTTTTGCTCTTCTGAGGACTGGGGCACATGGAGTCAGTAACAAGGAGAGGCTTAGGAAGAAACGTCAAACGTTACAAAGAAAAAGTGCAAGGTCAGAGGTCATGGGTAAAACTGAAATCTCCAGGTGCTTTTTTAAAAGATTTTATTTATTGAGAGGGGGAGGGATAGGAACATCAATATGTAGTTGCCTCTCCAGCGCCACCTACTGGGGACCTGGCCTGGCCCACAACCCAGGCACATGCCCCGACTGGGAATGGAACTGGTGACCCTTTGATTGATTTGCAGGCTGGCACTCAATCCAGGGATCCACACCAGCCAGGGCTCTACATTCTTTTTAATAAATAATAAAAAGTAGAATGTGTACACTACGGCTCCTTTTTCCTATTCATTTCTAATTCCCCCTCTTCTAAATTTTTCTCAATGACATTGACTCAATAATCATGAATGTCGAACGGAAATATTTTAAAGGCACACACATGCAGACATGTGAAAAATGAATGTCAGCTGTTGGGGTGGTCGGTGACGTGGGCTGTGAAAGAATTCACGGAGAGGAGAAAGTGTAGAGAGTAACGTTTTGATTCGCTCTCTAAGGAAGGAGAAAAGCGTGGCTCTACACCAGCATGGAGGGGTCGGAGCTTTGAGCTTTTCTTGGGTTGTAACTGGATAACAAAAGGGTGGGGAGTTGCTGTTCTGTGGCCCCGGGCTGTTGGGACATTGTAACAGAAGCTGCAGTCTGTTCAAATGTTGCCTTCCGCCTGGGGCCTCGGGGAATACGTGAGTTCTGTTCCTGCTTTCCCGTCATTTCCAGTCCCGGGGACAAGCTCAGAAGAGTCACCTGGCAGCATGTGTAACAAGGTCACAGGCCTGCTAGGCAAATGGTGCCACAAGAGCAAACGGAGCTGCTCTGTCCTTTCTCCAGCTGTGCACACGGGCATTAATTTGTCCCGGGGCTTGGGAGAGGGTGGCTCACACTGGATCCGGTGAGGCTCCTCATCGCCCACCCTTCTCACCTTCTCCTCCCAGCACCCACTCCCCCGACGTGGGGGCTAGGCCCTTCCAACAGAAACCCTGCGAACACCTTGTGGCTAACTGGACACATGAAATACTCAAATAAAATTATGGTAAGCAAATGTCTAAAAATATGGAATACCCAGAACTACCCTGCATAGACTAACTTGATCAGAATATCATTTTTTAATTCAAGTCATTATTAGACTGGTTGGCTGGGGGTGGGGAGGGATTAGCTTATAAAAACCTTTCAGCATTTTGAAGAAGGTGTCTTGGACTAAAGTGTGTGTGTGTGTGTGTGCAATCAGGAATGCATCAGGTACACACTGTACCATCACCCTATATCATCATCATCATCATCATTGAAACAAAATAATTTTGCCTCGGCCTCTTAACTGCTCAAAGGGGATGTTTTGTTTTCCTTCTGTTCTGTGGCCCCAGCCGTCTGCGTGGCTGGCGGGTGGTTTCCTCCTATCCCCTCAAATACTCAGGCTCCCTCTCACTGAGGACCTCCCGGGGCCCCAGCCCCAGCTCTGCAGCCACAGGCCCATTGTGACGCTCGACTGTGGTCACCAGATGGCACCCTTCTCCGTGCTGCCAGGCTCCGGTCCTCTTGCGAGAGGCTCAATAAGACAGAATTGAAAACGTGGGGCTCTGATTCTCCAGATGCAGTTGAGCTTAAGTGATGAACGAGGCCAGACAACTTTAGCCAAAAAATATTGAAGGTCAATGGAGATTTATATATTCAGCTCTAAAAAAGAAAAGAAAATGAGTGGGTCAAAGTGGCAGATGTTTAATAAATGTGTTGCTGGGACCACCTGTGTGAAATAAAACCCACAGAAAACAAGCTTGCCTAGTTCATTGTACCATATCCTCCACCGGGTAGAAGAGCAAGAGAAACGTCCTGGCTGTTGGCTTTGGGGACGGGAAGACGCACACGTAACGTGGGAGAATCGGTCAGTGCGTTTCCAGCATGATTCCGAGGCCCCACTGGGGGGCGCTCTGTGCAAACCTGAGACGGTCGTGGTTGGACAGTGCTGCTGATTGGCCGCAAGTGAAGGGGGCTCGGCCACGGCACAGCTCGCACACACTGTGTGGGGCATGACACGTTCACTTGCGCTCTGCAGCCGGACTTCACTTGCCTGGCTGTGTTCTGTCCATCTCATCTTGGTATAGGTCCGTCCTCACAAGTCTGTGCCACACTTAAACATCAAGAAAAGCAGTCAGCACTGCCCAGACCAGGAGACCCTCGTCATAACTAACAAAATAACCAATGTGTCCCAGTTTAGATGCTGCTGCTATGAGAGTGAGGTAAAATGAAGAACTCACCTATCACAGTTGAATGAAAATATCCCATGAAGTCAAATGTAGAATGTTTAGATGAACTCTAATTGTTCCCCAAATGACATAATACGATGGACAACTATATCGGGAAAATCGTGCTGCATACAACACAACTCACCGTGCATCTATTAAAATAGATGTATTTGATGCCTTCACAGATTTTCACATAGCAATACTGAGAGTAGCACACATTATTAGTAGAGTTTATCATTGGCTAATGGAATGGCAGTTTCAGTTTAATTCATTTTCAATTTTTCTAAAGTAAGTCCCTATTACATGTACCTATATCCTCTTAACTTTTGCAACCAGAAAAAAAATTTTTTTTAATAGTTGAAATTTCTTTGCCCAAATTAAGTCCCTACCAGCAAACTTTTGAGCTACACTTGGGCTCCTGAGGCACCGGCCCTCCGACACAGAACGCCTCAGGCCACAACTCTGCAGCCGAAGGCGGGCCGCAGCACCAAGGCGGCATGCGTGGCTGAGGCGTTTGCACTTGAACCCCTCACACAGAGTCGGGTGAGCCACTGAGCCAGAGCTGCGCACTCCTGAGAGGCTGGTTAGATTGAAGACGTGAATGTGCACAGCTGGGGACACGAACCAGACTCCCAGGAGCCCCAGGAACCCCAGGAAGATGCTGGGGACCTTCCAGGCCACTGGGTGGCTTCGTTTTGCCATGTTTAATACGACGGAGTTGCTCCAGCTCGTGGAGGGAAACGCCCCCAGGGTCTGACTGTGGAGGCACTGCTGTCGGGAGGGCGCCGCGCTGCCCCCTTAGCAGCACAGCCACTACGGACACCGGCGATCGCAGCCCTGGCCTGGACGCCCAGGAGCACCGGCAGGGAGAGCTCATGCCGGCCCCCCCAGCACTTGGAGAGGGAGTCCGGCTGAGACTGCTCGCTGCTGCCTCCCCGGCAGGCTCGTGGGCCCAGCCCACTGAGAACACAGGCCAGGAGGCGGGAGAGCAGCGTCCGGTGGCCACGGCCCTTCTCTTCCACTCAGTCCACGCAGCTAGGCGTCCAAACGCTGTGGGTGGGATGGCTGAGATCAGAGCGACAGTGTGAAAACTGTCCCGACCTCTGGCAAGTTGTGCTTCACTGTGTTCGCTAAAAAAAAGGGGGTAACAGCTCTCATGTCAAAGAACCATTGTAAGAACCCTATGAAGAAATGCAGGTACATAGGTGCTCTGGACCGAGTCTGTTTCCAAGCAAGTGCTTTTGTGTAAGTGCAGCCATGGTCAGCATTTGCGCGGTCAGAACAAAGGGAAAGGGTCGGCGGAGACCACAGGGGACATCCCTGATCCACCTGGAGCCTGGCACAGCACAGAGGCCGTGCACGGGGGCGGGGGGGGGGGGCGCCACTGGTCTGGGAAACCCACGTGACACCTCCGCGCGCCAGACCGAAGGCACCCTCCTCAACGCACTTCCACCCACTTTCTGGAAAACGATCTTAGCGCACACCGACATGCGGGATGTCTCTTCTGGCAGGGGTGTCTCCTCACCTCTGGCCTAGCGTTGACCATGGCCCAGACCGCTCTCTGACAGAGGCGCCCACGGGGGCGGGGGCGTTATTGGAACACAGAGACGCAGACGATTACATGGAAACTTGAATGGGCCCAGGAAAGGCCTGGGGGTGTGTACGGTAGCAGTAGGAGAACGCATGCCCTGAGCAGGGCCACAGCTCTTCCCACACACTCAGAAGGAGGGTACGAGTCCCCGAAACTTCCGGAGCTTCACGGCAGAGGCAGGAGATGAGATGACGCAGGTGCGTGGGGCCCGAGGCGCGGCAGGAAACCGAGGCCGGCTCTGGATGCAGCCGGAGATGCACCCACCACCTCCGGGAGCCGTCACCGTGGGCGGGGGCTGCCGGCCCATAGAAAGTCACAGACCTGAACGGGGACCAGCGAAGGGCAGGGAGTTCCTGGGCTGGCTCCTGTTGGTTGGTTGGGTCCAGCGCTGTCCTCAGGCACCAAGAACTCCACCGGCGCACCCCAGGTCTCGGCCTGTCTCCTGCCCGGCCGGGCTGCAGGCAGCCCTTCACCCGAGGTCGGCCAGGACGTAGGCCCCCGGGGCTGCTCCTGCAGGGACAGGGCGAGTCGCAGGCTGGGCTGGCCTTCCACCCGACCCTCCTCAACTCTGACCCCTCCCTGTGCTCCCTAGAAAGGAACTGGACTCCAGGCACCGTTCCCTCTCCCCTGCAGGTGCTTCCTCGCTCTCCCACCGGCCTCCCGGCCTCGCGTCCCACCTTCTAACGCCTGGCGCTCTGCACCTCGCACTGTGTCCCTCCGCCTCTGCCCCCGCACCGCTCCCAGCGCTCACGATGCAACTTCCCGCAGGCCCCAGGCCTCCTGGGGCCGGGCTGCCTGCCGCTCTCTCCCGCGAACCACAGATGCCCAGGAGGCAGACAGGCGGGACGGGCGACTGGGTCGGGGAGCAGTAGTCATCTCGGGCCTCCCGCGGCCGCACGGGCACAGCGGCTCAGACGGTCTCTTCCCTGGTCCCCGCCTTCTCTACGGGACTCCTGCCGCTTCAACACCCAAGGCCTCCTCGACCCCCAGCTGGCGAGGTCGCTCCTCCCGTGACGCCCAAGCACTGGCTTCGTGGCTGCACCTGGGCCCGAGGCCCTCCCCCACCTTGACCGCGCGCCCTGGATTTCAGGCCGCACCGAATGCGCGGCTCCCGAGAATGCAGCAGGAACCCCGAACCCCACACTGCCTCCGATGGAGGGGCCGGTGCTCCCAAAGACAGAGGGAAGGCGCACTCCCCCCACCCAGGGCCTCCCTCTGCCCACGTCCTGCGGGACCGGAGTGCGTCCCGGGCAGAGGCCCTGACGCCTCCTCCGTCCTCTACTCACGGGAAGCCTGCCTGTTCCAGAGGGTTCTGAACAAAACTCCGGCCGAGAGGACGGTGACACCAACGGCGAGCCCACTGATGACTCCGACGACCAGGGGGCCGGGCTTCGAGGGCTCTGGAACAGCAAAGGGAGCGCCCTGAGCGCGGCTGGCTGGGGGCAGACCCTCCCCGCCGCGTGGCGCGCCCGGTTCCACCCCCAGCGGCCCACAGCCCGGCTGTCCATACCCCAGGTAGCAGTGAGGGGCCGCTCCAGGCCCAGGTGCTCCACCTGGCAGGTGTGCCTCTGCTCCTCCCCGGGCGGCACGGACACCGCCAACCAGCCCTGGAACGTCCCGTCCCCATTGGGCAGCACGTCCACGTCCTTGGCGTCCAGCGGCTGCCTGTCCTTCATCCACCGCATGGTGATGTCATGGGGGTAGAAGCTCAGAGCCCGACACTGAAGAGTGGTCACTGCGGAGGCCACGTGACGAGCCACCTTCACCGAAGGAGGAACTGGGCAGGAAGGAGGAAGAATCTGGAGGGGGGACCCTCCCACCCTCCCGCGAGGACCAGGGCTCTCGCTTCCCCCTTCCCCGACGCCGGAAGGAAGGGGACGCCCTGTGCAGACCCAGCGGGCTGCAGACACACCAGCCTGCGAGCTGAGGCGTCCCCAGACACCGCTCCGGAGGGGGTGGCCACGTGCGGAACAGCCGCAGCGGCCTGTCGTCCTGCCCCGTGTGTCAGAGGCGCACCTGTTGCTGCGTCTTCTGCTCTTTGTCAACGTATTGTGCTGGATCTGATAAAAGCGCCCTTCCGGAGCACCGGGAAGGATTGCGCTCGGCCCTGGTCTCCCACCCGGTGCAACCCAGGGGGGTCCCAGCCAGAAGGGGCGTGGCAGGATCCCCAGCCCGCGGGGGCATGGCCTGCTCTGGGAGACAACCTTAACTCCCAGTCTGCGGCTCTCTGACCGGCTTCCTTTCTTGGCAATTTCTTGCCTGGGTGTCCCTGGGACAACGGACCTCTCTGACTCCTACAGGGCACATACGCACGCAGGGTCTGGCTCAATGGAGACCGGATGCGTCTTTGGCCACACGCGCAGAGAAAATAAACCAAAGCTCTGACTCGAGGTCGCATCGCAAATCTCACTTAGAAGGTAGAGACCTCAGGGCGGAAACCTCAGACCTCAGCTCCCCCCACAGGAAACACGGCCTCGGCCACCTGGAAAGCCCAGGGGCAGGCCTGCGCCCCCACCCGCCCCCCACTTCGTCCCCAGGGTGCGGGCCGTACCCAGCCGGTCCAGGAGCCCCGCCCCCAGCTCCAGGAGCCTCCGCAGCTGCTCGGGGCAGTCCGTCTCCAGGAAGGCCCTGTTCTGCCTGGCCCGAATCCTGTTCACTTCCCACTCCAGCTTGGTGGCCCGCGCCTTGGGTGCCGCTGCCGTCCAGTTCAGCGTCTTGGGGCAGAATTCAAGGTGGTCCTCCCCGTCGTAGCCGTATTTCCAGAAGCCCCTGGTGCTGTTGTCCTGGAGGATCTCACAGCCCAGGATCACCTGCAGGGTGTGGGACGCTGGCAGTGCCCCCAGCTTCGTCACTGAAACCAGAGGAGCGGGGTGCTGTCTCCACCGTCTCCAGAAGCCGAGGGGCCTGGGGAGCAAACGCCTTCCCTCCTCCCTGCCCCCCCGGAACCTCAAGTGCCAGCGCCCCCGCCCCACGTACCCTTGCTGTGGTTGAGGTTGTCCATGATGGTCCAGAAGTCCACTGTGAACATGTGGTCCCACCCCTTCAGGCCCTGACTCAGCTGCAGCCACAGCTGCCCAGCGGCCCCTCCCCAGGCCCACGGGGTGCGGGGCTCTGCGCGGCGAGTCTCGTGATCGTAGGACACGAACAGCTGGTCGTCCACGTAGCCCAAGGCCTCGAACAGGGGCAGCCCCAGGTCGGGCACGGTGGCGCCCATGAAGAGGTAGCGCAGGGAGTGTGGCCCTGGGGACGCAACAGGCGTCGGTGGGCCCAGTGGGCCTGGGAGACGCAGGCCCCTTTCTCCTGAGTCAGCTCCTACCCCCTTCTGGTCCAGGCCCCGCCCGTGCAGTGACTGTCCAGTCTGCTCCCCGGTGCGCCCTCCCTCTGCCCAGTGGGGCTGCCGCCTAGGCTGCCCAGCACTCACCCAACTGGGACGGGCTACCCTGGGGCCAACGGCTCTGGAGAGCCCCGCGGTGTCCCCGGCTGTGGCACCGAGCTCAGGAGTCGGTGCTCAGGGCTCATCGGACCCGAGTCCGGAGGGGTTTGCTGTTGGGTTTCAGTGCTGCCGTCTCTGACCCTGCCCTGGGCCCACCCTGCTGTTACGGGCTGTGGGGTGCGCCGATAAAGAAGAGTTCCTTCCAAAGCAGGTTGGAGGGACAAGGCCTCTCCTCCGCTCGGGCGAGTCTGCCCACGTCCTGCGTTCGGGCTGGGTCCCGGCGCGTGAACCACGCTGGGCTGGAGGCCGGGCTCCGCGCAGGCTGCTGGGTGGACGGCCCCGGGAGCTCACCTCCGCCCCGGACTCTCAGAGCTTCCGCCCGCGGGGTGGCCGATCGGAACCGCACACTGCCGCCCCAAACCACCGATTTCCCTCAACTGCTCTTTCTTCTGCCTTCACCGTCTCAGGAGCGGCATCACCGGTGTCACCCTGCAGCTCGGGCCAATGGAGTCACCTTTGACCCCTCCCTTCGTCACACCACGCACAGACCCTTGGGAACTTCCTTCCACACGTATCTGAGGGAGGGGGCGGTTACACAGGCCCGAGCAGAGCAGGAATGACCGGCCAGCGACCAGCTGTCCCCGGGCAGAAATTCCCGGGTGCCTAGCAACAGGGCAAAACTAGAGGAAACAACCACTGTAGGCTAGGACCTCACCGCCGGGTGACCCTTGCCCCCTAGCAGGCCCTGCGGCCTGCAGCGCAGACCCCCTCGGAGGAGGGCCGGGGGCTGCAGAGCCCCTTGCACTGAGCACGGAGCCCTCGGGACGAGGAGGGTCTGAGCAGCATCACACAATCTTAGGGACGGGGCCTCGGGTTTGCTGAGGTTGGGCCAAACCGGAGACACATCTGGGCCTCAGCCGGGGTCGGCTCCAGGCCCAGAAAAGCAGGAGAAACGAGGCGGTGGCCGGCAGAGGTCAGGGCCGGCTGGGATGACTAGTGGCCGTCCACTCCAGGGCCGACCAATGAGCAGAGACAGGACCTTGATGAGTGTGCTCTGCAGACTCTGCCCTGAGACCTGCCCTAAAATGCCCACCTGAGGAAACAGGTAGGCGCCCTCAGGATGAAAGGCCCAGGTGCGGCCCCCACTGGGGACAGATGCAGTGCTCAGCCTCGGAAAACCTGACCTGCTAAATTCCCTGTAACCAACCTGGGAAAGTCCTTTAACCCCCGTAACACCTACGTATGGATAGCTCCTACTCCCACAGGCAAAGCGGGGCCGGCAGCTCGCAGAGGCGAAGGTTCCCAAACGCAGGGCATTAGTCCAGCGGGAACCGCCGGTGTTTGGGGACCGGGGACGGCCCCCGGATGAGGCAGCACCGTCGCACGGCGCTTCAGTCCCCAGCGCCGAAAACCACAGCTGGGCTTCCCGTTCCAAAGTCACGTTTCCAGGCGGGACAGTCGCCAAGAATCAGTGAGGCCGGGGCAGAGCCCCGTCAGGGGCCGCCAGCCCAGTCTCCCCGGAGGTAGGGCTCAGACCCCGCCGTCTCACCCCGCGGCCCTCGCACGGCGTGCTGCCCCCCAGCCCGGCGGCGTCCAGATTTCTAGGCCGCGGTGGCCCTCGGTGGGGACTTCTGAGGACGTGAGGGGGGAAGTGACAGAGAGACAGGAAACCCGTGACCCAAACCTGGAGACCCGCTAACCCAGAGCGGCCTCCAGGAGAAACGCAACGACCGACCCTGGGGAGCGTCAGGTCCGGGAGGGAGCGCTGGTTCCGAGTGGGGACAGCGCGTGGGGACCAGGCCCCGGGCGGGCGGGCGAGCGGGCGGCCGCGCAACGCACCCGCGCCCCACGGCCGGGCCCTCCCAGGCGGAAGGCTGGGGAGGGGGAGGTGCGCGAAGCTGGCGCCTCCCCCAAGCCCGGCGGCCCCCGCGGGCGGACCACGGCCGGTTTCGCGTCCTCGGACCCCCGCGTCCCCGCCGTACTCACGGGCTCGGCCCTGCGCCGCCGCGGTCCGCACCCCGAGGGCCCCGAGGGCCCCGAGCAGCAGGAGCAGCGCGCGCCCGGCTCGCGGGCCCATCCCGGGCGGCCGCGGGGGCTCGGGCGGCCCGAACGAAACTTCCTGGCCTGCGCGATCCTTTTCCGGCCGCGGGTGGAAGCAGGGCGTCTCCCGCACGTGGACTGTCCTTCCTGCCGCCGCCGGGCCCCGAGTGCGCGACACCCGGGGCCCCGGCTGCGCCACGGGCTTCGCACACCGAGGGGACGGACCCGGGACAGGACGCTTGAGGACCTTCTGACCTAAATATTTAAATGCTGGGTCATGAAAAAATTCAGTTACACTTGTCAAAACTTCTGGAGTTCCATGCGGCTGTGTTGTTATCGGAGTTAGAATGCTTAGATTTCATTGTTTGATTGGAATTAATCCAACCAGAATGTTGCCCAACTCCACGGGGTTGCTAAAACGCGGTCGCCGGCAGATAGCTTTGTTTACCTGCATCAGTAAGAGAAGGGTTCACACCCCATGCCCCGCCTCCCAGACCGCAGGCTCCACGCTCTGTTGGGACAACTACACGGTGATTTCCCTGCCGCGGCCTTAACGTAAGGGTTCCAGTCAAGCAAATTCCTTACAGCTGTGTCTGCAGACACCGTGCTCCCGTGAAAGGTTTAGCAAGGATAGCGTTTAGTCAGAGCCCCCAGACACTGAGATTCTTGTCTTGGCTAGCAATAAGATTAACCAATCAGAGCCTATCTTTTAAAAACATCTTTTACAATTCATGTAAGCTATTTACATTTCACAGACTTTGCAGCAAACTGGAGTCACCTGGAGAAACTTGAAACTTCTGGATGCCCTGCGCTTGCCTTCACGCACTGATTTAATGGGGGGGGGGGGAGCGCCACCTGAGCATCCCGGATTTCAAAGGCCTCCCCGCCCAAAGCACACACGACCAAGTTTGGGAAACGCTGCCTTAGACGTTTCCAACCATAGTAACAAATGCAACGCATCTGATTTTCCTAAAACCTTTAAAGACCTGGTATATCCAGTAAGCAACGCCTTCTGCACGTAGGCAAATTCTGGCCAAGGGAAAAAAATCAAACTTGCACATCAGGGCCTCTCAGCCTCAGGGGGAGAGGAATCCGGCCCGGCGGATGCCGAATATTCGGGACGAGTGCATTGGGGCTGATTGCGCTCTGCCTTTCCTCCGGCTCCGTGACAGCTTTGCTACTGAGATACAGTCCCCATACCACACCACTCCTCCGCCTAAAGTGTAAAATTCAGTGGGTGCGAGTACACTCACAAACGTGCACAACCGTCTCCGCGGTCCACTTTGGGGGTCTATTCTCTCCACGGGGAAGCCTGAACCGTTCAGCCATCTCGGTGGCCCCCTCCTCCCCACCGCCAGCCAATCACAGATCTACTTCCCGTCTCTGTAGACTTGCGGGTTCTGTACATTTCCTGTGCACTTGACCCTGGAACAACACCCGTCTGAACTGCCCCGGTCAACTTACATGCTGATTTTTTTTTTTTCAATTGAATGCAGTTCAGTTGACACGGGCCGTGCAAACCCACATTGTTGGTTGGGGAAGGACGGCAGAATTTTTATTATTGTATGTATTATATATTTTAAAAGGGAGAGAGATGACCTTGAGGAGGAAAAAGGAACAGCCACCTGGTGCATGACAGCACCTACCAGCATGCCGGACGGAAATGGGCTGGGGTCCAGGCAGGTCCTCCGGAAGGGCCTGCCTCCATGGGCGCCAGAAAGGGTCTGCAGACGCCGCAGTCCGTGTCGCTGCAGACGAGAATTTTCCCAGCGAGGTTCAGTGGGAGCTTGGCGGCTGCTGCAGGTGTGAGCTCTTCCGGGCTTACGGGTGCCCGTGCCGAGTGCCTAGCAACCACGGGCTTGCACACGGGGGTGGGGCGGGGCAGTGGAAAGCTGAAGGAATGCCGGGGGTTGCATTTCTTAAAGCCGGACTCCCAAGTTGTGGTCTCTGGACCAGGAGCATCAGAGTGGCTGGGGACCTGGCAAACTCAAATTCCCAGGCAGATCCCAAACCTGCTGAAACGCAAGAGCAGGAGTGGGGCCTACTCATCTGTTTTAGGAGCCTCCTCCCCCACCCCGCCCGCACCAGCTCTGATGCACAGTCAAGTCTGGGGACCCCTGGGGACGGTTTCTCATCTGATGGGGCGGGGGAGGCATGCAGGCTGTGCAGATCAGCCAGCTTCCACCCCGCCCACCGTTGTCCCATCGGAGTGTCCTGTCAGGGGTCTTCACTTTGCAGCTGCAGCTCAAACCGCCTCTCAGCAGCACTTCTGGCAACTTCAGACAAATGTATCGCTTTCCCGTTTGCCAAAGGACCTTCTGCATACCGCTGGTTGTTGTTGGCTCACAAACTCCATCCGTGTTTATGAGGGGAAATTGGAACCAGATAAGCTAAAAGAGGGAAATAAAAGCCACCTGCAATCTCACTTTCCAGAGACAAAACCCTGCACCGCAGTGATGTGTTTCCCACTCGTTGTTCTTCGCAGACGGCGCTCTGGCTGGGGGCGGTACACCATACACGGACTCACTCAGGGTTCCGGTGTGCAGCGAATGAAGACGGAGTGAGTGAGCGAATGAGCGACCAGGATTCGACAGTGAAGCCAACTGCAACCCCCCTTGAGGCCCTCCTGCCATGCGTGTCCCAGGGCACCTGGGTCACGTGAGCGTCAGGGACGTTCTGTTACGTCCGTGACCAACAGGAGCAGTGGGTGAAGGGGAAGGTCCCCAAGCGTCCGGTCCTCTCGACAAGTCCAGTGCTCGGTGCAAATGTTCCCTGAGTCCGAAGTCCCGCTGGCTTTGCCCCGGCCCCTCCCTGCACCGTGGCCTCGCTCCACCTCCCTGAACCTCCACCTGCGCATCTGTTAAACGAGGCCAATGGTTTCTGATCAGCAAGCGACACTTTATGGGAGTGCCCTCTTACCACTGACTGTTCACAGACATAGACAGGAGAAGCCAATGATTACAGACCGCAGGGCCCAGGGGTGTCCAACCCTTTGGCGTCTCTGGGCCACTCTGGAACAGGAAGAGTTGTCTTGGGCCACACATTCAATACATTGCGACATGTAGTCACAAAAAATCCCATAAAGTTTTAAGTAAATGCGCGATTGTGTGTTTGGCTGCATTCACAGCCGTCCTGGGCTGCATGTGGCCCGCCGGCCGTGGGCTGGCGGCCCTGCGTGCAGTGACGCACTTTGGGGCGGGTGCCGGCCGACCCACACACTGCCGTGCGCGCGTCCGGTTCTGCCCGCAGAGTGAGGGGCCAGAACAGCGGCCACTCTGTACATTGTTACCCGTCTGCTCTCTCAGCCTGGGGAACCTCAAGGGGGAAATGTCAATGTTCATTATCCTCCCGTGAAACGTGTCCGTATGCTCCTTTCAGTCTGACCAGAAGAGCAGCCGAGTCTGTTCTCAGGTGCACTCCTGTGCAGCCCGAGTGTCCGGAACCCGCCGTGTGGAATCTCGCGTCTGACGAGTGAATGCGCGTCTGTGCCGTGAAGGCGCGGGGGTCGCAACCCGCGAGGCAGATTCGTATGGCAGAGGCACACACACGCTCCAAGTCTCAAATTCCTCCCTTGGAAATAGGTGATAATACCAGCTATTTTATAAAACGATATTTAGAATTCAATTTAAAAAATCAGAAATTGATACATGAAGGCTTCTGCCCTGTGCTGGGCATGCTGTCAAGGCTGGCCGTGTTTATCGTCACTAACAGAACCGCAACGACATTAGCAGTGACGTGGCTAATCGGAGGC